AAAAAAAAAAAAAAAAAAAAAAAAAATTTTAATTTAAATAATAATTTACGACTGGTGATTGCAAAATTACTTCAATTACTGGAGATGATCTTAAGCAAATTTTCATTATTTACCTAATAATAATATCAAAAACTTTAACGGGAATATAAGGTTTTTTTATTTCTCTTATTTCGAATTCGTCCCGTGCCAAAATTGGCAAATGTTTTTGAAAATAAGGAGAGCGATTACGTAAAATAATTGAATGAATTAAATATAATTGTTCTTCTCCAACTTCTATGATGACGTCATAATCTTCGCTGCTGTCTAGTATTTGTGTAAAATCTGAAGATAATTTTTTAAAAAATTCGGTAGTCATTTTTATATTATAATTTTTGATAGTTTTTAATTTTTTTGTTTATTTTTTATTTATTTGTTAATTTCTTTTTTGTTAGTAATTTCTTGTAGAGAAAATTTTGGTGAGTAGAAAATGAGTTTTTTTATAATTAAAATCTCAGGATCGTCGGATCCAATTCAGGTAATTCGAACACAATGGGCGCCTTTAATTATTTATCGATCTGAATTCTTTTGATTTCTTTGTTCTTTTATGATAACTCCACCTTTTTCTTTCCCTTTTTAAAATTTTCGATCCACCTTTTTTTAAAAAAAGTTCACATCACATGATTAGCCACTAAGAGAAATACCTTTTAAAATCTTGTCACAATAGGAATTTGTTAATGATGCAATTTTCTTTTAATTTCACATGATTTCAGAATGAAACTTTTTTCGTTGGAATATGATTTTAACAATATCACCTTTACAAAGAATTTATTATCACATGACAATCAAAGGAGAAGAAAAATAAAATAAAATAAAATAAAATAAAATAAAAAATGTGCTCAATCGAAGTAAGTAACACCACATTTCTCAAAGATTACAACTTGTAACACATATGTGGGTTGACCACCTACCTTATCGCAGTGGAATATCATTTTTCAACAATGAGAAAGATGTTTTTGTAAAAAAAAATATTTTTTTT